TTTGCGTTGATTAAAAAACATTTTTTTAAAAAAGTGATAATTATATTTAAAACTTAAATTTTTATAAAAGATTAAAGAAATACTTTTTATTAAAATAATAATTTTATTTCTTAACCAAAACAAAAATAAAATTTAAAAAGAAAGAAAGAAAAAAAGTTAGCTCCACACCTTTCTCACCGGCGAAAAGGCAAGATTTCTCTTTAGTTGGACTATACAGAGTTAATGAATCTTGTGAAAAATTATAAAATTATTTAAAAAATGTAAAAATACAACAGAAATCAAATATGGTAATCAGATTAAATAAATATCTTGAAATTATAACCTTAACATATTTAAGAACTGAAATGTTTCTTTTGATTGTTAAATATTCTTAAATATTTTTAAACATACTGTAGTAAATATGCCATGAATGTCATAGTCATAGACTGTATTAAAGTTATAGACATGAATCAATTATTATCAATCCATTATTATTAAGGATATTATTTTCAGCACCAAGCAAAGTTGCTGACTTAAACTTTAAATATTTATTCAAAACAAAACCACATATTTTATTACTTTAACTCAAATTTTAATAAAGTAATTAATTTTTAAAAGCTCAGGTACAGTGTCAAATTTTAGAGCACTCAAAAAGTACATTTTTTTCTCCCACTATCTTCTAAAATTACTAAGTTGTAACTTTCAGATCTCTTGCACAGACAGCCAGTTATACTTATGACAAACTCAAATTGTTCATGTCGAAGAAAAATTACATTCAAAATAATCAGTTGACAATTGTTTTTTGTTATTTGTTCAGTTTGCGCCATTGTTTATGCAGGAACACCAAACAGCTCATTACTTGATCAATAGCGTTTATATACGGGTAGCTGATGAATTCCAAACATCCCATTAATGTAAAGAAAAAATTTCATGTCAGTCGTTGCATCAACCCATGTTTTGTGTGGCATAGTAGAGCAGGTATATTCAAGTCAAGTCACTGTCAAGTCATCATAAAATAAGTCTCAGGGATGAATTACCAAAAGTAATTATACATTTCAGGTGTATAATCTAGGCCTAAGTCTACATTAGGACCAGTTACAAAGTCTTCATTGCTATATAATTTGTCATACCAGTCAGATCTATCAACGTTGTCACCATCTTCCTCTTCTGGCTAATCTGGGAAATCAAGATGTTGAACTAATACAATATTAACATCACTTTCATTCCTTTTATCAGTCTACACTAAAAGCCGAAGCATTTGTAGCTTGAAACGATTCTAGAAATGCAAAGGTCATTTTCTAAGCGTAGATTTGTTGTTGTCACACCATTATTTAATTTTTTTTTTGAAAGTTAGCGTAAAATCAAGTGCATAGCCACAAAATTTCAACCAAAAAATACCTTAACCCTTCCTTTTTATTAGTAGGCTCTTTTGATCTCCTTAATAAAAAGAGTTAAATTCAGCTGGCAACTTGGAAAATGGCCTGTTGTTTACAGTGGGATTTGGCCGTAAAGCAACTGAGGCATAAGGGCTGGAAAGCCATAACACGACAGGGAGGGTTAATATCCAGAATACTGAGTGATTTTAATATTAAAATGAATTTGCAGATAATGGCCAAGAAGAAGCAAGTCCTGGAGATGATTTTAACAGTCTTACTTCAAGTAAGAAACTTCATGGATCTACCAAAGTTTCTGAGACTGGAGATCTTCAAACACATGTTGACTCACCAGTAGCTGAAGGACCCAATAATACAGAAGGTGATTCTAAAATCGATGAATGAGCATAGCCCATTATATCCAGGTAAGTGAAGGAAATTTCACTCAGAGCTCTCTCGTTGTTGATTTGTAATCTTCTTTCCAGCTGGTTAATCAGGTGAGTGCCCTTTTTTTTTTATATGTACTCTGAAATCACGCCCAGATGTCTACAGAACACTATGAGGATGGACGCAGCTCAAAGCCTTTAACCAGAGAACATAGGTACTGATCTCTTGTATGTGCAGTCATCTCTAGACTGTTACATGCAATGGACCTGATTATTGTACATTTTATTTGTGTTATACAAATATTATTATTTTTTGTCAGCAGTGATGTGGTGGGGTTATAGAATTTGGAGTATATTTATGGTATTTGAAGAAATAGAGATAAGTAATTATTCTCTTGGTAATAATTATCTTAGTTCATATCAATGCTGAAGCAAAACAAAAATGGATTGTTAAATCCTAGTAATTTTAGGCTTATATAGTTTATAACTTCAGTAAAGAAGAGCAGAATATGCTTAAGTATTGTATATAAACATTTTTAAAAAAAATTACTAGTGTGATTGAAACTCACTTTTTAAAAAAAATTTAATGCATGATTACTAATTTGCTTAAAAGTTTTTGACAGGCTTTGAAAAAAAAATCAGTTACACTTTTTCAAATTTTACTAGGCTATAAAGAACATGTGATTGTTAATCATTGTTATGTTGTATTTGAAAGCATTGTAATAGCAGAATTTCAAAACTTACAGCAAAGAATATGAAAAAATTAATTGAGCTTTTGTCATAATAATTTTTTAGTAGAGTTGGAGGAACTTGTTGTCATGCTTATTTTTATATAAACATTTTATGGGTAGATCTCACAAGTACTGGTCTAAAAAAAATATAAATTTTTTAACCATAAACTAGCTTTTTAATAATTGTTATGCCATCTCTTATGGATGCCCCTTAATAGTTTAGCAGTTTCAATGGATGAATGTTTTATTCTTGTTAATTGGAAATAGTTTTTTTTATTACAAGACTACATGGACTAAGAACTTAAAAACCCCCACTATATTTCAATAATTGTTTTGATGAAAATGTGATTTTAATGAGTGCATAGTTAAAACATATTGTTGATAAAAATATTTAATTTTAATTGATTAAAAAAAAAAATGGATTCATTGTCTGACAAATTTTCCACCAACTATTTTTAATCGTTAAAGAGGTGCATTTGTACCATTTGAAAAGGCATGCATGAGCTCTGAAATATTTTATGTAATGTAACAATTCATCTACTACTCTTTTTTCTTTTTTTTTAAATAAAAATTATACGTTGAACCTGAAACTAATTAGCTGATTCACATTTAATTAAAATAAAAGATACACAAGCTATATTTACAGGCGCCTTTGTGTATTTATTTACAGTTTACAGCTAAAAAATTAAGTCCTTTGCTAGCTGTCAATATAACTACCTGGCAGCTCTATCATTAAAAGAGCCTCTTTATTTCTTTTATTTTGAAAAATTACTTGTTCAAGCTTACTCTGTTTATTACTTCAAACATACATATATTTAGTCAGTTTTTTTTTTTTAAATATATATTTTTACTAGTGACTCTGAAGATGAATATAAATGAGAGGTCAATAAAAACCAGATTGCTAACTATAAAGAAAGATTATTTTTTGAGAACCATTTAATGGAAGGAAATGTTAAATTATTAAAACTGCTGTGCCATGAATTAAGGCATTATTTAATGGGTTGCATATGATAAGTTCTCATTGAATCCACACCCAGGGAGACTTTGCTCAAGTGATAGCATTGATGAAAGAGTGTGTTAATCATGATTCAATGTTTATGCATACATGACTTTCTTATCCCTGAAGCGATGATACAAATATGGCGAAGTAACTGATTGTTGAGCCGATGCCAACCTAAGGATTGCCAGCAAGGGAACAGCAATCAAATGACTTATAGCATCGTTTCTCACTTAAATTGTTCAGGTATTTTATTGTGGTAGTAGATTTTTTTTGTGGCTCATAATGACCCATAATTTACTAATGGTACTTAGGTTAACAGTATGCATTTCAGCCTTTTACCGAATTTATGTAAAATTCACCCTGTATGTATACATTTTTGGAGAATGAGCCACTTGTGGTAGAGACCCTACCAAATTTTAGCTACTCAAGACTACACAATTCACTAAGTCATTGATTTTTATACTTCTAACCATGGGAACTATTTTATTAACTTAACAGATTTCTGTATGTCTGCTCACCAGAGGCAAAGATGAGTTCCAGCAATTATTGAAACTAAATTTATTGTTGTTTTGTTTCAGTTGATGACCGATTCTTTTTATCTTAATTCTAAATTTCTTTTACATATCTCTCATTTTTGGGTCTTGTCTTGATGAATATGTATAAAGAAAAAATAATAGTGTTTTTTTTTTTTAAGCCACTGGAAAATAAATCTCAAAAGTTGAAAATATTTTTATATTCTATATGAATAACTATATTAGATGAGGCATCATGGGATTGAAATGCTATGAGAAGGAAATTTTCTATCACCAGTGACACTGCTTTTACTATTAGTGTACTTTCTACTATGTAGAAAATACAAAGAAAATATGAAAATATCATCTCTAATTCTTTACTATTTCTTTTATTACATTCTGCAGCTGTGAAGCTGAACTTTAGGACTCTCAAGAAACTATTGGGGATAGTCCTTGGCATCAAGTATTGGCATCCCAAGATAACAGAATAAATGCAGCTTGTGATTAATATTTTACTTATGCTTCAGCACCATTAGTTATTATTTCTTGCATTGAGAAAAAAAAATTTGCACCGAGGAAAAAGTAACATTTTAGTAATTTTAAAAAAATAACGTCTGTGAAAAACTGCCATCGGAATATTTGAACTTTGTCCAATTACAACAATATTTTTCTATCCTTAAATAGAATTAGGTTTTTTTAAAAATGATTCACATTCCCTTCACATTTCTGAGCCATACAGATGTTTCATTTTAAACAAAAAAAATACCATTAACTTTTGGCATTTTCTTTCACTGTAATGTAATTATACTTTTTTTTTTGGTGGTCTTTTTGTGTGCCTGTTGATATATTTTAGATACAGTAATTAATGAACCTTTTTGAATTGTTTTTTAATAGTTTTATTTAGTTGTAACAACATACCTAATCAGTAGATTCATACATGCAAAGCATGTGGCAAAATTTTATCTGACTGGGTTCTAAGCTGGTTTTCAATTCTTATACTTATAAGTTTAAAAAAAAAATTGCATTGTTAAATATATAAATTGTTTATAATGTATTATTAATTCAAAATATGCTCAATATTTTATAATTTGGCACTAAGAGAAGATCTTCATTAGTATTTGCTTATAATTTCGTGTTGAGTTACCAATAAAGTTGTTCGACCCAAATGTAATGCATATATTGAGTGTTTTATTATAATTATTCCTATTTGCTTTTTAACTTAACAATTATTTCTCAATTCAAAAACGAAAAATCCAAATTATTTAAAAGTCTGAGAAATTATGTTAATTTTGAGAGGAATGTAACTTTTTCTTCTTTTTTTTTTTTACTTTAAATTATTTCAAAACATTAAAAAAAACAACACCAAATGCACTTTTGATTTGATTCACTGCACATACAATCTTTATTCACTCAGATATACAAGAAGGCATACAATTATTGAATTATCAGCAACTTATTTTCATACCCAACATAACTGTTTTGAGACTACACAATAATATAAATAATGCCATTGAATTTAACATACAGCTTGTTTAAGTGTAAAGAATTTCTCAACTATCTGAATAAAAAAAGTGTGTACTGTTAGATCATAAGTTATTGTTACTAATCTGTAACCCACTCTTGTTACATATTTCTCAGGCAGTTTAAATTTATGACACTATCCAGATGATAACCCAAGTTATTGATTTGAAGTATCTCACTAATTGAATTTGCTAAGCAAGTTATGTCCATTACCAATTGTTCATCTAGCAAATTTTTAATCTAAGCTCTCTGATAATTCAAAATGGGATGACATTTTTAGAAGTTGTAATTTGAGAATATTGTTATGTACAATATTGAATATACAAATTTTATCCTCAAGCTATTCAAAATTTTGCTTATAGATTTACATTGCAGTATAAAATTATCTATATGACCTCATAATTATTAAATTTACAGTATTCACATAGTGAATTGCTGGATCACTGTTCCTAGTGCAAAGAAAAGGAGTTTCTCAAAATTTTTTGAAAGTCTTAGGTAAGGCAGCTGAAAGGACTTAAAAACAAAAGCAACATTTAGAAAACTTAACAACTTTTTCACGATAGATATAATTCTGAAAAAAGCATGATCCTTGCCTCTTAGTATTTTGAAGATTGACAAAATTATATTTTGAAGGATCTGCCCTTAAATATTTTAGGGGACACTACTTAAATTAATAATGATCTATTAAAATAGTGTAAAGAAAATTATATATGACGTAACATAATGTGACAAATTCATGCTTTAAAGGTTTAATACAAGATATATTCATTTAATTAAATTTTGGGGCACAAGTAAAGTATTTTAAATAAAGGTGAGGTGAGCCATTTATTACAGTCATGAACTGGCATACTTCTTTGTCCAGTCTTTAGCTAACTCTTCATATCTTGATCTATCTGTTTTGTAAACCCTAGCTATTTCTGGAACAAGAGGATCATCAGGGTTTGGGTCTGTGAGAAGGGACGTTATTGAAATCAGAACTGGAAAGAAATATTTTTAATATTATGAATAAACTTGTTTTCACTAACATTTTCAAAAAAGCTTGAAATCTATTTGACATTTAACTACATCATATGTTTACATTTTATTTTCATATATAAATTAAATATGTAAATATATAATTAATTAGCAGAAAATTGTTTTCTTGCCCATTTAAAAATAAAATTTATGAACACGGGACACTATTGTTGCTTTATAACTAAATATGTGATATCTTACCTTTAGATATAGTAAGAGCTGGAGACCACTGAGACCTGAGTATATCTAGACATATGCTACCATTACTATGTATGTTAGGATGGTAGATTTTTGTTGTGAATGTTATCTAGTGAATTATTTTTTAAAAAAAACATTATTAATGCAAGTTAATATTACAAGATAAAATAAATACAAGTAGAATGGGTGGCCAACAGGTTAGTTGCATGCCCTAGCAACAACCCCCCCCCCCCCTTTTTTTTTTTTTTCTTCTTCCTTCTTCTTCCCTATTCTACGTTCCTCTGAAAATAGCATGCATAAGAACTTTTAATAAATATAGCAATATTTTCTTTCATGAAAAGATAATAATCAAATTATGTACTGGTACTTAAAGTTAAGTATAAAGTATCAATACATGTATTAAATAGGAAATTTTGGTTTAGATTATTAAAGATAAACAGATGTATTATAATAATATTTGAGGATAGAATATATCCAGATGCACCACTAAAGCCGGTAATGAAAATATAACCCTTTTTTTTTGCAGACTTGATATATTTTCAGGATAAACACAAACCTCAGAAATTTACCTGCTTCAATTTTGTTCAGGGGGGTATATGTCACCTTTTTTAAATAAACCTGCACATTCATTTAAGTAAGATTTCCTGTTTGTGCAAAACATTTTCATTACATCTTATTTTTAAACTATTGTTATCATACCATAATACCATTGAGCTTCTATTATTTTTTAAACCCAAAGCTGGTGTCTATGAATGAAGGTTTCTATATTTTTAACATGTTAATAAATAACTAAAGCTTAAATAAAAGACTATTCTTAAGCCAATATCAATATTATTTTATAATTAATGCCAATATCAATATTATGTTACAATTAAAAGTGAGTGTCTGCCTACCCTATTAAAATGCACAGAGATTCTCAGCTCCTATTTTTTTAATTTGCATAATAAATGATTACCATACAGTAATCTATATATTTTTTAAATAGCACAAATCTCAGGATGTTTGTGAGACTTGCATACATTTTTCAAGAAATATTATAGGGCATTTATTTATTATTAATATTATACAGAACCTGCATTGTATCTGTTAAGAAAATATGGCAATAGCAGGGATTTGAAAAGAATGTAAGACCAAAGGATATAAAATAATCCAAACTAGTAAATTCCAAGGTTTACTCTTTACTTGTTTTATTACTTTTAGAAGTTTATTTTTGTAATCTACCCTTCTCTATTAATGTGGGGGGTTGGATATTTAATTTAAATAGAAATAGAAAAATGCAAAACAATTGAAATTTTTGCCATTATGAAATATACCAAAATTTCCAGGATACATAACATAATATATACAAAGAACTGCAGAGAGAGTGCAATTTTGTCACTGTGGCCTTAGGTGGAAGGCCACATGCCTGGGTAACTACTGGATTGCGATGATAATATTATGGCTCAGGTTTTTTTAAAAATTGAGTTAATTTATAACAAAACTTCAACAAATACTTATTTGTCAGTTTACCTTAGGGGGTTTGAATGGATAATCTGTAGGGAAGTGTATAGCCAAAGAAAATACACCATCTGCATATGCACTGTCAGGCTGCAATATAAAATGAGTAAAACAGAGTAGGGTTAAACATGAAAAAAGAAACGTAACAAAACAACGAACGTGTTGGCAGTGAGCCTTTGTCAGCGAACGAAACAACAGAAAAAACGGTATAAAAGTAAAAATAAGAAATAGCACTTAGCTTGGAAGTAGTATCCGTGGGCCGCAAAAGAAATGGGACAGAAAGTAAGTGAGTGAGGGATTAAATAGGGAAGAGCGAAAGAAAAGAGGAGAAAAAAGTCCATTGCGATAGGTTAGGACTAGGAGGGGCAGAGCTAGGGTCAAACTGTGAAAAGGGACATAACATTCATCCCAGCTGGCGTCAAAGTGCCATAAGCATGGGTGTGTTCCTGCTAGCCACGAGCGCACTTATTGAAAAGTCCGTCTTGCCCTGGTGGTCGCTACTCTATTGAAGTGTTTGGAGACGGGGCACTTTATCTTGCGTAATGTTACGGAGGTGTTCGGTACACCTATCAGAGAGATGGCGTCCAGTCTCCCCATGTACGTCATTTGACAGCGGTTGCAGAAAATGGTGTAGACAACGTTGCGGCTTGTACAAAGGAAGCTGTCGCGTATCTAAAAACTGCCCTTAGGGAAATGTATGTGTTGAGTCTGAACGACAAAAGGGCAAGTGTTGCAACGGCTGCGCCCACATGGCCTTGTCCCAAAGTGAGAGGGGGCAGCGTTGATATGACTGTGCACAAGGAGGTCTCTCAGATTTTTATCCCGTCTGAAAACAATGAGAGGTGGGGAAGAGAAAATTTCTTGTGTGTCGGTTTCTGCGAGTAATATAGAGCGATGTTTAAGGAAAACACGTTTAGCTATCAGATTATGAGGGTGATAAGCAATGTTCCCTTTAAGGTTTGTTGGTTCGTGTGCAAAATCATAAAGTTGTGTGAAAATTTTTACAGCATCAATTTTTTGTGCGCAAAATTTTACAGCCTACAGACACAAACACACACTTAAGTGGAAATTAGCTGAGCGGTACTCAAAACTGCTGCGCGGCGTCTGTGAGATTACTGCGCGGCCGTGCGGCTGTGCAGCTTAAAGGGAACATTGGTGACAAGTGATAATAAGTTTAGTCCTGTCAACATTGTCGCTCGGACGTGGCCTGAAGGCATAAGCACGGGTAATATTTTTAGCCCTTTGGAGGGCTGATGAGAGTAAGACCTACACCGGAAAAAGTCCCAAAAGTCCTCCTTCGACCGACAAAGTCGACCAAGACAAAGTAATTGAGAAAAAGGAATAGAGTCTTTACAGAATTTAGGGTGGGATGAAGAGGAGAGTAGACAGCTGTGGCTGTCAGTGGGCTTAAAGTAGGCAGAGGTGAGTAGGCTGTCTTTGAGAACTGTGATGTTCAAAAAGTTGTCTCATAGATAACAGATGTAAATTTAATGGAGGGGTGAAAGAAGCCTACAACGTTAATGAACAGGTCAAATTCACTCCTCTCCATGGTGGTGACCCCTATACCGTCATCTATATACCTATTGTAGAATTAAGGGAGGCGTCCAGTATAGCTGCTTTTGACCATGTGTTCGAAATGCCCCATGAACAGGCATGCATAGCTGGGTCCCATTTTAGTCCCCATAGCCACACCACTGATTTGGTCGAAGAATTGGCCACCAAACTCAAACGAATAGAGGGTGAGGACTAGTTCCGCCAATCTGAGGAGGGTCTTGGGCGCTAAGAGAACGTCAGTGTGGGGGATGGAAGTGTATAAAGAGCATACATCAAGAAGAAATAGATGATGTTTCTTTTCAGGAGGGATTATAATAACAGTCTGCAATAACAGTTCAAAAATATATGTTGAAAACTTCTATTTATTCTGCACCATTATCTACGGAAAAAATTACAGAAATTTACATTATCCTGCCAAGATTAGCCGCCGCTTACGTGGGCGTTATGTCTTTCCTGGATTAAAATAGAGGCGCACAGAAGTGTGTTATGTTTTCCAACCGATCACTACATTACCAAAGCTTATTCGGTGCTTAGTTTTTTTTTGTACTTCCGTTCACAGTCAAAGAGATGATATAACGCAAAGAAACCGGGGCTTTGATGAAAGAATACAACCTGCGCCGTCATCATCAAAGCAAACATCAGGAGAAATATGCACAGTTTGAGGGTAAAGTCTGTGCTGAAAATTTTTCTCAATTAAAAAATCAATTCACATCTCAGAGGACATTGTTCAATAAATCCTCAAATGAAAATGAATCCTTAACTAATTCTAGTTATAAAGTTGTCTACGTCCTGGCTAAAAGTGGCAAACTGTAAATAATGGTGAAGTATTGAAGTAACGTTTGTTGGTGGTGGCTTAGGAACTTTGCCCAGAAAAGTCAAAACAATTTGAAAATGTAGCTTTGGGTGCAAATACCACGGCCCGCTGTGTTGCAAACATGAAAAAATGCAAGCAAGTTTCGCCCTTTTTCAATTGAAATGCATGAATCGCTAAACAGCTGTTCGGTTCCTCCTCTCAACTGTTTGTGTTCATTAGAGGTATGGACGAAGACATGAACATAACATAAGAGCTGGCTTCCATAAAAAGCGTAAATGGCACTGTTACTAGTGTTACCGGAGAGGATTTATTCAATGGGTTGAAAAAAACATTTGCTGATTTTAACTTGGAGTGGACTAACCTCAGTTGCCTGACCGTTGATGGAGGAAAGAACATGAGTGGCATAAAGAAAGGCTTGTTTGGACAAGTGAAGCAGATGTGTAATGAGAAAAACATTCTACAACCAATTTTCCTGCACTGTATTATTCACCAGCAAGCTTGTGTGCTAAATATATGGACATCATCAGTGTACTGAATCCTGTGGTGAAGATGGTGAATTAAAAAAAAAATCACATGGGCTCACCATAGACAGACAAGTTGAAGATTACTGGCACAGATCCGCAAGTTTTACCATATTACACAGCAGCAAGATGGCTAAGTTGTGAGAAAGTTCTGAGCAGAGTATTTAAGTTAAGAAAGGAAATCGGTGACTTCCTGGAAAGTAAAGGCAAGCCACAGACATTACTATCTGATGACAAGAGGGTATGGAAATTGGGCTTTCCTGCAGACATAACTAGCCATTTACATATTCTGAACCTAAAACTACAAGGAGAGCAAAGTCTAGTTTCTGATCTATACACCCAGCAAAAGGCCCTCTGATCCAAACTCGCCTTGTTTTTGGAATAAATATAGGCCAACAACTTGAAGCACTTTCAGCAGTGAAGCAACAGCGGAGTTCCCCATGTCATTTGCATGCACGATTAAAGTCCGGCTGCAGTTTCAGTAGCGGTTTTCTGACTTGGATTCATAGGCAGAAGAAGTGAGACTGTTTCAAAACCCTTTTGAAGTAGATGTGGCCAGTTGCTCAGATGAACTGCAGCCAGGGCCAGCCTTAGGCCACTGCAACCTATGCGGCCACAGTGGGCCCCACACTTTCATAGGCCCCACTTTATAATACAAAATCTTAATTTTCACTTATTATCCTTATCCCTACCCAGACTGGGCTCTGCACAATCCGTTTCGCATAGGGCCCCGCAATTGTTAGGGCTGGCCATGACTGCAGCTGGAGGTCATTGAGTTGCAGGCAAATGACTTCCTTGGGGACAAGTTCAAAGAAGGACTGGTGGGTTTTTACCAGTTTTTGCAACAAGATACCTTTCAATCTTTGAAACAACATCTCTATGTGAACAAACATTTTCAAGAATGAAATACGTGAATAATAATTTGAGAACAAACTTGTCTGATGATAAGCTCAGGCCACTGTTGTTATTAGGGACATCAAAACTAAACCAGAAACGTTTGCTATTTTTGCATCATCGAAACAATTTCAACTTCCCACTAATACAGATTTTCATGTGTTGTGTATCAATGTGTTATTAAATAATAACTAAATAATTAAAAACAACATCCATGTTTTTATTCTTTTTTTATTTAGACCTCAATTGTGTAGTCTGCCCTCGAACTGCTGTTTGATAATTAATGCGGCCCTTGGGCTGAAAAGTTTGGAGACCCCTGGTCTAGGGTCTATTAAAGTTTACTTTAAAATAATAAACAAAACAATAAAACTTCTTACGGGACCCTGGATCATTGCTTCCCACTGATATACTGAAATAAAACAAATAAGAGTTTATTTAATGGGGAAAATATCGAAAATTTTAATTAGCTTTTCTTCAACACAGAACATCATAAACTGATTTACAAAAAGCACACTAAAGAGTAAATAACAAAAACAACTTTAATCAGGAAATTAGCAAGAATTTGATGATCAATTAAGAAACATTTTAATTAAAAGAGCAGACATGTATTTCAAATTTAAAACAAGACCAGGTTTACAAATTTTTTTCAAATGATCAATTTTTTCCTTTACAATTTACCAGTTTAAATTATAGCAAAAAGCAGGTCAAATATAATGTATTTCTGGAATATAAAAAAAAACAACTTACAGTCATCTCCGACAGGGCCTGCTGAACAACCAGCTGGTGGGTCTCGCCTTAAATCTTGTAATTCCTGGCCATAGAATTAAAAAAATATATAATTAATACTAATAGTCAATATTTGTAAACTAACATTTCAATAATTTCAATGCCCAAATTATGAATATTTCGAAATCATATAATTTTAATGACTGAAATGAGGATCAATGGGGATAAAGGTCTAAAGCAGAGATTCCCACCCTCTTTTAGTTGCTACTTCATATTTTGAAATGTGGCGAATACTCCACAGGGTTGCCAACTGTAAATAAATTTATGAAGAGTCAGTAAAATTTTTACATAAAATTAATTATCTAACCAAAGTATAAAAAAACTTTAGGATGTCCATAAAAAATAATAGAACTCTCATAAGCCGTTTGAAGAGAAACAAATCTGGATTTATCAGAATTTTTTTTTCTTGCTTGCTTTAAGCTTGTTTAATCCTATGCAGGAGAAATTAACACTGATAATAATGCCATTCTATAAACTAATGCTATATTATATATAGCATTTTATGTTATAATTGTAAGACATGGAGCTATATAAAATTATATATTTATAAATCACAGATATTTAAAAAATTGTTTTTTCGTTTTATAGTTTTAACAAATTTAGATTTTAAAAAGTGTCCTTAATAAAATATGTTTGTCCTTTAAAATTGTGAAGATTTAAAATATTTATCAGTGTATTTTATTTTATTGAGTTGGTCACCCTGGTACTCTGTGTGTGGAATCTTTGTGAGGAATTCTCAATGTGAGAGTTCCTAGTTTGAGAGGAAAACTTCTAAGCTGACTACTGGTGTAAGGAAAAAAATATAGATTCAACCAAGCAATGAAAACAAGCTTTTTTACTTACTCCATTCTTTACATGGTCTACCTATTAAAAGATTTAGGATTGATCACAGATACAAGCATCTTAAAAACTTGGCATAATTATTTATAATCTAACTATTTTTACTCTACTGGTACCATTTCATTGATTGAGATTATAAAAAGACCAACTGATTTAGGATTTAAATATTTTGCAGAATGGCAGAGTGCTAGTGAACAAAATTTTCAAATAAATAATTTAACTTCAAGAGTAAATCTGAACAAGTGATGTAGTTTTAAACAAATTGCTGCTGAAGAAATTTTCTAAGAATAAATAATGTAGGCCTATAAATAAGTTGGGCTTATCTAAATTAAATTCTTGGATAATTTTGTATTTTTTACTTATTTGTATTCTTTTGAATAGGAAGTACCGGTAATGACATTGTCATGGACCATGGTAGAAAATGGCAATACAACTACTCTGACAAAAATATTTAATACTAGCTACAGCCAGCCAAACAATGGCTGCACCATGTATGAACTTTTTCATCTACAAAGTTACTAGACAAAACACGCATTCAAAAACACACTTTATAAGATACTCAATTAGAGATACTTTTTTCCACGCCCCTGACCTATATTAATACTCTAATGTCCCACCCACTTTTATACCGCAAATTTATAACACCATATTTAAATTTAGACTAATTCCATAAAACAAAAGAAAATATTACGCACCACAGGTATTTGATGTTTTTTTAAGAATTTCATTTAGCAGTTATTAAGAATTTTATTTAGTGAAATCAGGGCCATGTGGTAGCATTGGTGACATCCTTACATAGAAAATGATGTATTTTGATATATTATTGCTGGCATAATCGTAATGATTTCTCCCAAACCTTGGCCTTGATAAATGAAAGGCAAATATTTTTTAGCAGAAGCAAGCTATGTTAACCATGGTCCCTTCAAATACTGAGAAGTGCAAGAATGACGCAGAACAAGTATCAGTACACAAATTGTGATCAACATTGATATTAGGGTAGACCAGTTTATTTAAGACAAGGCTTTTACATTAACTTTATTATAGTTTATTTATATTTTAAGAAATATTCACACAACCAACAGAGTTTCAGTCAAAACACTAATCTACACATCTTTTGTATTTCTTCAGTCAATGGATTTGATACAAAGGTTAATTTTAATAGACGAACTTTGTTTTTAATTATGTCCAGCCCTATTCTATATCTTCTTTGGGCCTTGACAATTTTTCTAGTCATTGTACTCTTGATGTTTCCCCCTTTTCTTCCATGTTTTTGCACTACCAGTACTTTTTCCCCACTGCACTCATCTTTGTCATAGCAACAAAGATGACAAATGTGTAAAAACAAAATAAAAGTAGTGCAAAGGCATGTCTGCTAAAATGGGAAAGGTTAATGGAGAGAATGTGTTGTTTAAATGACATAAAGAAGCGAAAATAGGAACATAACTTTCAAATTTGATGGTCGCTCACTTTCCAGGCATAATTGCAGCCATTACATTAACTTATTCCCTCCAGATAAACACTCCCATCGTAGATTTTAAATGAAGTTTTTGTCAGATTGACTTTGGCATTGTCTATGCATAAAAATGAGTTATTTTCTTTTCTAACCTATTTGTTTTAAATTACTTTTAATCAAATCGAGAATGATTTCCCTTTGATAAACATCCAGATTTTCTTTCTTTCAACAAGTTTTTACAGCGAACGAAGTATTTAAAGCGATTATTTTGATTCTACATTTTATTCTTTTTTACAAACAAGTTATCTCGACCTGGCGTATGAGGCTATCGAGCTAATAAAGGTAGAAAATATTACACTGGTGAACAATTAAGGGGTATTGTTTTTTATGACAATTCAGCAGAGGCTGATTCTGTTGAATTGTATAATACTAGTGCCTAGTAGTAGTAGAAGCATTGGTTAACTGTATAAGTTTGTGCTGGATGTGGGTCAAATTCGCACATCCACATGGATTGTTTTCAGACTTATCACAGTTAAATCAAGATGAAAAGATTTGACAAATTTATGGTAAATTTTCCATTTACCATAATAAATGTAAATACATACAAGGATATGGTGCAACTATTTCCTAGTAGCAACAAATTACTTCCTGTGGAAATAGTTTTTTCAGACATTTTTTGTGTGTTGTTGTAACAATGGATAATGCACTCTAGTGTTAAGTTTTATATTTTGTAAAATTTGATGATTATTCTTTGTGATGTACATATGGATAAAGTTCAGAAAGAAAAACATTTTTGTATCACTTTAAATTATAAATTTTACTTTGTGTGACTTGGAATGAGCATTTAGCAAACATTTGGTTTTTTATTTAACATTTTTTATTTTCCATAAATCTAAATCACATTTATATATTAAAATTTAAACCTAAGCCTGCATTGTCTGTAAAGAGCCTGCATTTCCCTTTAATTCCATACCAAATAAAGATGTTATGATCGCTTAGGGATAACATAGTAGTGCAAAATAGATAACTCCGTCAGAATGAGGAAAATAATTCCGGAGACAAAGAGTTCATTTTGTGGCAAACATAGCAACTTTATCCCTCTAGGTATGCAGCAAGAAGTGTCAATGACACTAATCTTAACAAAGAATAAACAAAAGGGCGTAAAAGTGAATTTCTGGTGTGTATATTTTTATTATATCTTAATGAATTTCGTATTTTCGGAAATAAACTTAAGTGTATTCTTTATTTAACTAACTCCTGGCAGTAATAGTTAACTAACGCTAAAGTGAAAAGCACTAAATTTCTTTTCTTTTTTTTTATTTCTGAAGCATCTTTGAACAGCCCCCAATGATATATAGCCGGTGAATGAGCTCTCCATTTTTTCTTTCACCTGATGGGCCAGATTTTTTCAACTTAAAGTTGGTACCTGTATGCTAAATGAAATATTATAAAGAATAACTGTAAATTTACATGCAAAATTATGAAAACCATTAAGAAATAATATATGCCCTAAACTAATCGTTCGACCAAAAGAGAACTCACTGATCCCAATGCGAAAAGTCAAGCTTACATTGTCCCAATTTTTTTATTCTCTGCCCCTTCCCGAGATGTAACTGACGCAGTTCTATTCTATGGACTAAATTAACATACTACATACCAGTTATTAATAATTAATGATAATTTATAGCCTACTATTACTACTAATTAACAACAACCAGCAAAATTTTTAAATATACAATTATTATAATAGTAGTAATAGTTTAGTAATAGGGTAAAAGTGCAGTTCAGGTGCGTATATTATTTCTGTTTGAATCTCTTATTTTCCCGTGTAAACTTATGTTAATTCTTTATAAAAAGTATTTTAAAAGTTATATACCATCTTTTTATTGGAATACAATTACGAGATAAAAAAAGTACATTTTTATGAATCTTTCGTGTTTTACGGAGCCATTGTGGTAAATCAAGGATAACTCTTCTGTCTTTAAAGATACTTTATAAAAGTTGCCCAATTGGATGAATCTTGTTGAAATAAATGATGTATTTATTTTATAACTTTACTATCAACTATAACCGGAATTGCCTGGGGCTGCATTCAGAAAAAACATCTGTTCCGTCCTTTTAGTTCACATTGCTATTAAACGAAATGTCAACAACAAAACAACAACACTATAGTAAAAATAATAATAATTAATTTGTCTCCTATTAAAAACAATTAAAATAACTTATGTAAACCTTTCGTTTTTCCCGTTTTCCGATGGCACCCGGAAGGATCATGATGGGATCCCGAACCCGATGTGATTCCGATAGAATCCTGGTCATGGTGGGATCCCGATCCCGGTAAGATACCGATCCCGGTGAGATCCGTTTCCGGTGGTATCCCAAACTAAATGAGATCCCAATCCAGTGGGATCCCGTTTCGGTGAGATTCCGATCCCGATAGGATTTTGATCCTAGTGAGATCCTGATCCCGGTGGGATCCCGATCCAGTGGGTTACCGATCCTGGCGGGATACCGGTTACGGTGAGATCCCGTTTCGGGTGATATGCAGATCCCGGTAATTATGGGGAGCTCACACACTTGACATACGAACTCAGCTTACAAGCCACATTGCAATTGTTACGAGCGCCTTAGGAGAAATTCCAGTTGTATTAACGTTATTTGTTGCCCCACAAGGTGCGCGTATAAACCAAATGCTGCACCATTAAAAATGCCTGTTGCATCAACAATTTTAGTTATTGTTTCTTGGTCGTCCTGCAATTTTAAACAAAATGATCCTACAACCAGCAATACCGCAAAGCCAAAACGAGTCCGTCTTATAATATAAAATAATATAAAAAAAATAATCACTAGCCGTCACTTTACTCAGCGCAAATCAGTCACCAGTAATAAGCGCATTTGCATACGAAAAAAGAGGACGGGTGCTCAAATTAGAGCTGACCAATCACAGACAGCGTATTAGCAGCCTTCAGGGTGATCAGCTTCACACCAGGTCCAGGACAATGATGACGTGTGTGTCCACTGCTTAGTCAGTGATCCACTTCTAATCTACCGCCCCCCCCGACTGGACTTCAAAGGACAACCCCTATATTCCGAGCTCTATGAGAGGGGGGAAAAAGAAAGTTGGGGGGGGGGCGCTTGTGCGTAATGAAGAATCTAGTATTTCATTCTTATTTGTGAACATGCTCAGTTTGAAAATTTCGTTTAGCATTACTAACTTATAGGTGGCTAAAAATCTGGCATAGCGTAAAAAGAAAAATACAAACAAATGGGGGCCCTGTCACTTTGGTTGGGGGATGTTTAAAGACTCTTTAGAAGTAAAATAAAAAGAAAAGATGCGATTTATAATTCAGAATTAGTTAACTATAACTGCCTGGATTTAATTATTAAAGAATACACGTAAGTTTACATGATAAAAAAATTTTTAAATACGAAATGCGCTAAGAAATAATATACGCACCTGAACTGCACTTTTACCAGTAATAGTAGTAGTAGGTTAGGGTATAGGCTACCATGGACCATATGTTATTCTAAATAAAGGCATGTAGGCTCACGCCCAAAATTAAATAATTAATAAATAATTAAAATAGTTGGGAGTGAGAGATAGTATAGTCATGTCATAGTGATAGTCCATGTAAATATAAGAAGTAGGCCTGCCTATACTATATATAATAATATTAATTAATAATAGGCCTAGGCCGTCCTAGATTAACTATTTTTTATATTTAGACAAGTAATAACCAAATAAATTCATGAATACAGAATTAATCGAAAATGATTAATACTTTATTAATTCGTTTAGTAGCCATCGCTTAACAGATCAGAGTCTGTTGTCTGAGCGAATATTTGAAGACTGCCTGTCCTGTTAATGTTTACGTTAGGGACATTGGAATAGACTCTTTGTCTACTTCCGGCGGTGAAAATGTATGAATATAAATTATTACCAAATTAAATATGTATAATCCCCCCACCCCCCGATCGCGAGCGTCAAATATATGTGCTTATTGTAAAAGAATTACGTTAATAAATCAAACGCAGAGAAACTGTGTGCACTCATCTAAGGTTAAAGGAACTATTTGTTCATTAGTGACTCACAAAAACGACGGGGGCAAGGAGGAGGGTGAGAATAAATTTAATCTGAATCTGAAAGAAAATAACTATTGGTAAAAAAATGCATTGACAGTGTAGCTCAGGTTAGAATAAAACAGCCTATTCATCAGCTAAATCAGTAAAAAAAAATTAAAAAATTAAAGAAAGAACACCTACAAAAAAAAAAAAAAAAAATAAAAAAAAAAAAAAAAAACAACAAAAAAAAAAAAAAAAAAAAAAAACGGAGAAAAATAACAAAAAGGAGAAAAAGAAATATGCGATTAAAAATTAATAAAATATTCCCATTTTAGACTGTAGAAATATTAACAATGGTGTCGGTTTACTCTAATCCCTAACAAAAGGCAACAAGAATCTTAACTATTTCTTTCACGCGCTCACGCGATATGGACCTGTCTATTTTTATTGTTCTCTAACTCTTAGCTAAAAGCAACTTGTTTTTCTTTTCTTTCCATTCCGCAGGGCTGGGTGCCACAAGAGAAAGCAACTCGGAGGGAAGCAGGGGTCCATCTGTATAAAATACGATGCATTTATTGATCCAAATAAATGAAAACTTTCTGTGATTGCATTGAACATTTTGTTGTCAGTCTTGTAACTCTGAGTTTTCGTTGTTCCCCATAATCGGTCCGCAGCCTGCCGTTCAGTGAATCATTGTGTATTCAGAATACCTTTTAGGCTTTCGAATAGCCTACGTTGAAATTTGAAGCAGTCAGGGGCTTTTTGATCGAACGGAGTTCCGGCAGTAGCGTAGCTAGGGCTGGTTTCACTCAGTGCAGTTACCTGATGGGGTCAAACCCCCACCTCCCCTATGGATTTCTTCTTGTTAAAAAAATGTCAGGAGGTAAATATATTTAAGAACTGTAACATGTACTTACTTATAATCGCCAATTGCTATCAATGGAAGGCTTTATTTTCTCAGAATTTATATAAATATAGCTTCTTAATCACTTACGAAAGTTACCGAACACTTCAATCGGCGTTGACTCCAGGTCAAAATGGTGTTTTTTTTTACCTAATAATATTTTAACCTCATTTTTGACGCATCAACATTTGAACTTTTATTTGTAACTTTGGATTGGTTACATGGGTGGAAAATTTTCGTGTGATCGGTTATGTAATTCTGTTTGAGCGAGCAGTGAGTGCTCTGTAAATATACAACTTTTTTCAATTGCTTTTTTCACCCCTCTTAGACGGTGTCACCCGGTGTGGTCCGCACCCCCTAGCTACGCCACTTAGTTCCGGCTTTTATGGATAATCATAATGTCTGTACCGTAGCCGACTTGTCTTTGGTTTGTTGCTTGATCCCGCTATCGTACAAGATGACATCATGAGTTTACCTTGTCCCAGCATTATGGCTACATCATAAAAAAAAATAATTCCATGTCTACGCAGATAAAGTGTGCAGACTTTTCAATACAGTTTCAACTTCAAGTACGGTTCCCTTCTACTTCTATGTTAAGTAGCGCCCACGGAGGCACTGTGTCTTGCACCACTCTCATATTTGGTAGGCCTATACCTATGGCTGTCTATGTTGTATGCATTTTTATGCCTGGTCAAATAACTTGGATGGTCAGACCAATAGAATGATAAAATGTTTTGTCTCATCCACCCCCCCCCCCCACTTCTAATATTAAGTGCTATGTTTTAATTTTATAAGTTATTCTGTTATTTTGATTAAGGCTTCCTGCCGACACATTCCTTGTTTTGTTGCGTTCCTTTTTTCAGGTTTAACCCTAATTTGTTTTAATCATCTTATATGGGTGTAATACACCTGATCTTTCTCATACTCTACCTAATCCACAAGGTAGTTGGAATGAACACCTTGGTGGTTGCAATTGTATAAAGCAGGAATCTCAAACTCAAATCATCAGGGGGGCAGCAAGAGGTAGAGTCTGAGTGAGACTGGGCCGCATCAAGTATTCCACAAATAAAGCGATTACAAAGTCAATAAAGTAAAACTGTTACAATCTGCTGAACTTTTATTAATACCCTAACACAGGGGTCGGCAACCTTTTGAGACGGAAGAGCCAAAAGTTACAATTTACAAAATGTACCGGTACCAGTATTTAAAGAGCCACTAACATTTTTATTTAATTAATTTTAATATAATTATTAATATTTGCGCATGGAACTGGAGAGCGCATCTTGACATCAAAAGAACCGCATGCGGCTCGCGAACGTTGCCGACCCCTGCCCTGACAAATAAAAACGTTAAGGGTCCTCAAGAACTAGGCTTCACTTTCCTCCTACTCGTTTTTGCTAGAGATCTGGCAGTGCTTCTTCTACACAGCTGAGCAACATAATGGCTTGAAAAAAAGTTGAAAATTTGCAGTCTATTTTGAAGTGTAAAAAAATGTGATCCAATTCTTCCTGTAGCTTTGCAATGGCATCAGTATACTTAATACTGAATTGTGTGCCCAAGTCCATGAGTACCGGGTACTTTACTTGTTTCTCTAAGAACCATAACACAAGTTTTTTGCAGAATGCCCTGACATTGTCATAGGCAACACTGACAAGCTACCCCTGGTCTTGTAACTTCTTGTTGAGTACATTCAGCTCCTGTGTAATGTCAACAAGAAAAGCCAAGGTAATGGGATCACTTAGTACAGGAACAACCACCACATCCTTCTTCATGAATGTTTTCTAAATCATGTTCAAACAGTAGGCAGGAGCCGGAAATATGTATGAATTATTGATGTGAGGGAGGTTGTTGTTGTAGGGAGAATGATTTTGACTTTTTATCTAAGAAAAGGCCTTTTTGAATAGTCGGGTTAGCCCTATTTTGAAAGTGACCAAGCTGAAAGGCTCAGAATTTCTCTCACACGTAAACACTAGCTGCAATTTTAATAGGGATTCTTTGATACCGGTACTGTGTCAGGTCGCTACGATTTACACAATTATGTTTGTGCATTACCGACTGACTTTTTAAACTTTTCTCAAAACCGCACTTGGGCAGGGTTTGTCTCAAAAATGCTATAAAATAAAAACTTTTAGCCTGATTTTTACCATTATACTCGACATCCAAATCTATACAAACATAATAAAAATCAGAATTAGACTAGTCGGTGAGGTTCTAATGCAGTGGTTCTTAACCTTTTTGGAGGTACTGAACCCCACCAGTTTCATATGCGCATTCACCGAACCCTTCTTAATAGTAAATAATAAGAAAAATAAAATATGATTTTTTTCTGGACCTCCGCCAAACCCCTGAGACTGACTCACCGAACCCCCCGGGTTCGATCGAACCCAGATTAAGAACCACTGTTCTAATGAAACTTTACGGAGGGTCACATTATAGATATAAGAATGGGGAAAACGTGTGGGCCGCATCAATACTAAACTTTGCTCTCATGTAGCGGGTCGCAAAATATCGTCTTGCGGGCCGCAAATAGCCCGCTGGCACAGAGTTTGAGACTCCTGGTATAAAGCATGCGAAAAGATTTATTTTTTGGCACCTAAACTTTTTTTCTAGTCCCTAGCAACTGGGTGTACCGGTAATTTAAAGAAGAAAAAAAACTTTCTAAACTGGCTTGTGAACATTTTTGTTTGTTAATTATTTGAGTTTGTGTAATTGTAATCCATAAAATAAATTTTGACAATAAATAAATATTCCGAATGGATTTGGGTACAGCGATACCAACAATAATATCTATTCAACTTGACAAACCATTTCAGAGCAGACCATTCACAATATGTTCACATGGAAAATAAGGGCTTTGCAGCTCAGCTTGCACAGTTTTTACATAAAAAAACATAATGTTCTTTGCAAATGTGTCTAATAATAATAAACTTGCTGAGTTGAAGTGGTTTGGGCAGCTGTTTGAAGTGTTTGTAAAGATTTCAAAACACTGGCGATGTTCTTCCTCACAACGAATTGTCTCCATTTGTGGAGGGGTGAAGAAATGTGCCACGTCAATATTGACTGTCTGTTGTCTTCATGATTATGAGACAGTGAGTTAGTCGGATATTTATACCGGTATTTGAATGCCACTCTTGCTACAATTGATGCCAAGTCAACAATGTTGCAAATCACAACCAAAGGCCATCTTTTACTTTTTTGTATTTAAAGAGAACACCTTCGCCTTAGGTCCATGGCAAATATGCCTCCTTTGATTTTCTTGTTATAGTTATAGAGTAAAATCTGTATTTTTGCATTCAGTTTCACTTTCTATCTATATCTGGACAATTGTGTATTTGTTCAGAGGCAATACATTTTTCTGCTTCAAGCTCTGGTATTTGACAAGGTTGTTTCTAGTCTGAACAAAAACACTGATTTGTTGAGGGGCAGAGCCTTCATTTGCTTGAACCCCTTGAGTAGGAACATCTTGTTCTGTTTCACTGTTCCAACTAGGATGAGTCTATTCATGTCCATTAGTTCTGCAAGTTGTACGAGAATGAAATAATAGTCTGTTCTGAAATTGTGGCCACTTCCATGGAAGTCCATTGTGAGAGAAATCAGTCTCCGGGGATATTCCAACATTTATCTTTGCTGGCAGGGCACTTACATTTTCTTTGCCGAGATATGGGCAGCCTCTAAGAGGATAGTTCGAAGATGATTTGCAGCCCCAGAAGGTCGTTATTCCATATGTCGGGCTTGTTTTGCATATATATTGAATAAATCTGCACCGACCTCTGACACCAACCAGTTGCTCACCTACTGTGATGTTCTCTCCAGGAACAAAGTACCTTGCCAAATAACTCAGGAATGCTTTGAATACATCTCTTTTGGAAGCAAAGATGTCAAGAGCCAGAAATGATTGGTCTACTATCCTTGTGGAGCCAATATGATGCAGAAGTTT